TGACATTACAGAGAAGTTGGCGGTACCTCTGACGGACGCACAGCAATATAACAAGGTTCAACAGCCGTTCATTAGCATTTATATGCATTTGAAGTTCTGTTTACTGCTCATATTTGCGCTTCTGCTGAAAGTAAGTTGTCTTATCGACTTTTGTGTATGTCATAACACGAGTATGCATCATATGACGAGACAGGTTGGTATCATCAGATTAATGCAGCATAGTATTCACTCCCATAGATGTGCTGGTAAGCCACTGTACTCGAGCGCACCACTGTCCAGTGAACTGATCGGCGGTTGCCGCCGTTAGCTGCTTTTCTCTATCGGTCCTGGTCTCTGAGGTCCAATTTGCCTCTTCAGGAATTTCTCAATTTCCGCATCCTCTCTCACTCAGCCGCAGCCTCTTTTGTCATTCACATGACCACGTGAGGCTTGAGGTTTCGCTGATGGCCGTGAGGTGGTGCGCACACCCCCTTCGGCCGTTGTTATTGTAGTCGTTGATCGGTTCTTCGTCGAACGGACCGCCGGTGTATCTCGCTTCGGTTTTGTACGCCAGGGGGTCGCCCGACGGCCACCGCATTGCGTTGACCGGCTCTCATCGTCGGTGCAGCCGGTGTGATATGCAGATTTAGTCTGTGATGACGGAGTATGTGTGACGGAAGGACGGATGGCCTTTGTGCACATGTTCATGCGATAGAGTTCGGTTCGTTGCGTTCGACGGCGCAAAGCGACGGTTTGAGGACGACCGTGCGGCGGCGGCGGTGGCAGCGAGCTGAGGATCGACGGCGAGGAGCGAGGAAATTTGAGGTCATCAAATCCTCAGTCGCAAGGCAGTGAGGGAGGAAGCAGTGATTCGGTGGTTCGAGATTCCAAGACGTCCGTCGACGACGACGACGAGTGCCAGACGACCTCTGAACTGAACGCTCTGTCAGCTCTTTTCCTCCGGAAAAGGCGTGTTTTTGACGACGTTTAGCGTTTTTTTTGACGACACGACGTTGCTCGTGGTTCCCCGTTTGTTTTTCTGTTTTTTCTACCCGTTTCCGACGTTCACCACTTTCTTCGTTCTAACTCTCATCTCCATTTCCATCCGTCTGTAGAGACGACTGCGAAAGGTAACTGCAGCTTTTCTCTCTTATTTCATCGATTTTCTTCCTTTCCCGTTACAGTTCGTTTTAACGTACTTGAATTTACGCTTTAGAGAATATGCTAATTTACGATTTACTAAACATGCTAATTTTCAATCTGCTCTCAGGTGTTTAAAGGCGAATTGCGTGTATCAAACAGGGCGCCGTCTTAATCGCGTATGCTATGTATGATCGCAACAGAACAACATTTTATACCGTCCCCCTGTTGAGCGTAGATCAACATGTGGCTACACGCTGTTTAGCTGATTACACCCAAGCAAAACACAATTACTGGGTGATAAGAAATATTTGCTTAGGTATGAACTTATGTGTATCTCCAAAATTGAAAATCCGAAAGATTTTGCTCTGTCCCACTGTCCCCCTTCCATCTCTGAGAATTGCTCAGAATTTCGGGCCGTTCATCAAATCTTAGATTTTGATCTTCACCGTTATTCTTGTTGGGGCATTAGTTAGTTGGTATTATGAGTCGACATTTATTCCATTGTGCCACTGCCTTCATTATCAGCTAGCCATCGACAGCATGGCTGCCAGCAGGGATTGTTCTTTTCGTCCCTGGCGCCCAGAGGTCACTAACGGTGAAGTCGTGTGATGGCCGGCATGACGTGCGCTTTCGCACTGCCGAGGATGATTACCTCTGACTGTGTACCACCGCGTTCTGTTGATATTTATGTTCGATCACCGTCCGATAGTGATAGTGATCTCAACCGAGCGGCACCAGCCAGTCACAACGCTGCACTTTTGCCGTTTACGCTGCGGTGTCGACTGATGATGAGGGCGAAAAGAGGAAAATGAGGGACTGGCGTTGCATTCCATGAGATAACCGGTCGAACGGCATCTGTCTGTTTTGCGAAGTGATGTGCATCTGTCAAGTCAAGCTTATTGCTGTTGTTTTTTAATTTTGTCATAATCATTTTTATTCGTTTTGCATAAATGCAGGCTGCTTAAGCTTCTCCATGTCTTTCCGTTAATCTCAGTATTTCGTATTTTGATATTATTAGCCATACCGCTTAAAAGATATCGGCCATCTTTAATCTTATTATTGTAGCAGTGCCAGCAGGAGTAGTAATGCGATTTTTCTTCAGTTCCAGTTAAAGGCAAATATCTATTACTAACTTAGTGTGAAACATGGGAAAACAACGACTGATGCAAATAACTAATATTAACCACCGAACCAAATTCGAGTTGGCTCTCCAGTCCGTAGGATGCGGATCAAATAAAGCACCACTAAGTACTAAAAGGTCTCTGTTGTGGCATAGCTTCAGTTCAACTGGTTACGCGTCGTCCTCACCTTTGACTTGCAGCTTGCTCAAAGCCCCATGCAGATGGTTTAGAATGAAAGACCCATTCTTCGCAAATCTATCAGTGGTGGAAGAACACAGTTCATCGAGCGAGTGCAAGAGCCACGACCCGTTGTTTGGACCTGCTCTTTTGATGAACAGTCTCAAAAGGCGTGCAGAACGCAAGATCATTAGCTGAACGAGTGATTGTCCAGAAGTGATTACCTCGACTGAATTCGATCCTCTATCCCTTCCCCCACTATCGTCCATCAAGCCTCTTTCTTGGCTAGCGGCAAACATTAAGTTACGTTATTACTCCGGTTTAGGGAGACTGGGACTCCTTACTTTATAAGCAACCGGCGATCTTTCTCAGAATTTTGCAAAAAGTGATTAAAATCCGTTAAGGTATATCCTTTTAAGAAGTTGAATAGAAAATAATATTCATTGATGTTGCATTTTGCTCCAAATGCATGTTACTCTACTTTATTTGGAGTTTTTAAAACGTCCAATGAACATATAACTGGAATAGTTAACAGTTTCTAAAATAATAAAATTTAGAAGCTTAAGTTTCACAATACGACAAGATACCTTAATTGCAGTTTATGTTTCTTTAATGGCCAATCGTTAACGTGCATTGTCGTTATGCAGAACGACCGCCGAGACGCGATCGTTCAGAATAGCCCCGCTTTGAGTCGCGTCACGAGAAAGTCTGCAACAAAAATGTATTTGTAAATAAAGTGAATGAAATCACTTACAAGATATGACTACGCATCTGGTATATCTGAATCTGCGACATGGCGAGGTGAGTTATAAAGTAATTTTACCATATTATATATCTTTCGTTAAGAAAGTAACTTTAAAACATAATTCGATTCCCTGACCACCGATCAAAGGCCTGTATTGCAAAGTAATACCAGCGGCGAGATATTTTCCCTTCGCGACTCCTCTGATCCTTGTAACAAATTAAAGATGAGATAAACGAATAGTAGAAGAACTGTTGAGTAATGCACAGTCTATTTGGTTGTTAAACGCCGATCGCACAAGGTATAAAGATATACAGCCTAAACAAGTAGGTCCCTCCAGAAAAGGACAGCACAGAAACGGAGTTCGGAATTCTGACAGAATTTTAACTTTAAATGAATTCTAAAAGACGGTAGACAGCCTTCAGACCCCCTCCTGCCAAATCGACAGCAGGATGAGCAGTTTTGTTGTAGAGATTCATAGTAGACAAATTTTTGTGACGAAACCTTGGATAGGCCTTTATGCGGTATGTGATCGAATGAGGCGAAGACTCGTGGCTGCGATGACCAACCTCTTGCAGAAGATCACCAAATCTTCCTGATCCTGCTTTTGGCATGAATAAAAGAAATAGTCATTAAATATCGACGTAAATAAACCAGACAGCAGACAAAACTGTCAGCAAAGCCATTGGCAGTAATATGGATCATGTTCCCATTCGAGCAGCACACAGGGAGCGGAGGGCCATTTTGGTTTGTCCTCTCCATTCATTCGATCTTGGCCAATCGTTTCGGCTGCGCTGCTGTTAACTATGCCTGTCGAGCATTTTCTGCAGCATTGTATTCAAAGCATATTGTTTATATTAATTTTTAAAATTATTTGTTGATTAGCCTACACGAAAAGAGCGCATTTTTTGAAGGCGAAACTTTTCGGTTTTCAATCTTTCTATCACCTATGAATACGATGACGGTCACGTGACATGAAAAATTGGAAGGCATTTAGTGGCAAGCAACTGTTTTCGCTCTTTTGCGACCGTTCTTCAACGTAAGCACGATCTGAATATCCGATCTGAATGACGTATGGCGTCGAAAATTTGCAGTCGTTCAGTGACCCGGAGCAACAGCACAGTGCCGACAACTTCCAGTGATAAAAATCGCACTTCTCTATATTTGTCTGGACAGCAGGTTCCATAAAATGCTTATCTGTTGTCGACGTACGCTCATCATATCACAGGAACGAGCTGTCGAACTTTTTCTTTGAAACTGTATTTAAAC